TTTAATGACCATAATAATTCAATGCCACTCAAGGTCATAGATAATAATAAATGTCTTCAAGTGGGGGCATCGCGCAACAAAAAGGAAGACGGAGAACTATAATTATAGATAATACTACAACCTAAGTACTATCACATTTGTGAAATTATTCATAGATTAAATGTTGGAAACATGAAAATGCAATTTTTCTTTATCTGCGACCTTGAGTGACTATGGTCATTACGTTAAGTTAAATACGAGCAATGTTTTTGCATATTGAAAAATAAATAGTTTGAAAAAAGTAAGTGAAAACCCTAGAACGCTTCAATTTTATGTAATGACATTTCTTATTGCCATTAATAATCCTGAATATTTGATATAATTAAATACTAAATCCTAATGTGGAATTCATCTATCATTTTTATGAATAATTTGCACGAAAGTGTGTGTTTTGAATAGCTGAAAATTAATATTTGTAATCATCCTAGTTGATGACTTACGACAACAAACGTAATGAATTTCATTAATAAATGATTTAAAAGAAAATTTAGTTATTTTTAGAATTATATTATTTTATAGTTGCATATTTATTACTATTTTTTCATTAAATTTTTATTCATTTTCTGTTAGTGTAATATAAGCTAATGAATCCACTAAATCTTTATGCTTTCCATTGCAGTTTTAAAATATGGACTTTCTTTTATGAATTTCTATTCACTATGTTTCTAATCAGTTCATTGTCTGTTAGCATTTTTTATTTTTCGTGTTATTGCTTTTCCCAGTTTTTCAATCGAATAAAATTTCCTTTTTGTTAAGTACGAATACCTAAACCTCTGTCTAACGACACGATGAAAAACTAGTTAGAACATACATTGGAGAAAAATATCAAAATAAGAACGTACAGAAAATAATAACGAAAACCTGGTAAAAATCCTTCCATAAAAATGATTGAAATGAAATTACTTTGAACAGATTTGTTTTCCAATTAATGGTTTTAATGGAAGTTCTACGGGCAACATGTTCCCAACGAAAGTCGCAATTCGTTCCATTTACGCGACTAAATGGTAGCCTCGGTCGTTCGAGGCCGCCGCTAGATCCGATCTTTCGAATCGACTGAAATTGATTTAAACAAACGCGTTAACGAGACAGTGGAAAATTTATGCCGACAGGCAGACCGCGGCCGTATAATTCGTCGGCGAAAATCTCGGCTCGCTTCCGCATAAATCTCGCTCAACATTGTATTATTTAGCCGGCAGCAGGTTCGAGAGAGTCTATCTGGACGTAAATTGGCAGCGCCGGTGCCGCGCGTGAAAAATCGTCAGCGTCGTTAATCATTGCGCCGCGACGTCCGGCTGATTATTATTCCCGCATTAGCTCTGGAAATTGAAGAAAGACCTGGAATTACTCGTGTTGGTACCAAGGACGTTAATGACCGCGGGACACAAGTTATTAGTCCTTTTCCCGTTGTACACCTGGCTCGCCGCTGCCACGCGACACGCTCTCTTGTCAGGTTGCGAGCAACTTCGTTTACCTCGAACATGATACCATCTCCGGTATCCGTGATACGCATCCGGAGGATATGAAAGTACACGCACGAAACAGCGCCGAATCTCTCGGAGAGGACCGCTGAAAGTTCGCGTGTCTTCCAAGGGTGAAAGTTTTTTGGCAGGGAAATCTGCCCGTGGACGCCCCTCGGCCATAAAATTAACAATCAAGATCGTCAACTCGGAAGTTCCGCTATAAATCCTTTCTGAGAATCTAAACAGCAATTTTGGCCATGATAGTCAAAAGTTGAAAGACAATTATTATTCTACAGACTAATATTAGATCGTTCCATATGTTCGTGCCAAGTTTTGTATTACAACTTAAAGCTATGTTTTTAAAATATCATGGAATCTTATGAAGAATAGTCAACTCATAGGTTGACAACTTCTTCCCCTTTCTTTGGCAAAGCTATTCTATCGTTGCTATAAAATTTTCTTGCTTTTTAATAAAATGTAGATCGATGCTGTTCCTTAAAACGTGTTTTTTTTTAATTATTTACCCTCTAATTAGCCTAGAGATTGTTGCATTTGCACCATTTATTATCTCTGGTTATGAAATGATTTGGGGAAGGTTTGGTTTTATTCATGCAGTCAATCTCAAGCATGATCAGGAAAATTTTGTTCCATAACCCAATGTGAATCTCATACTTCGAATATTTGTTTCAAATTTCTATGAATTTTGTTTGTTTTTTGCTGGATTTCAAATTTTATCCTCATCTATTTAAGAATGTAGAACAGCATGAACTTATGGGACGAACTAATACCTAGTAATTTTCACTCAAAAAATACAAAATTAAACATTCAAAATCGTACATAGAAGTATCCCGTATATTTGCACAGTGAAAAACAAATTTAATTTGAAAAATTAATTCAGTATTTCAAGGATGTGTCCTCCATTTTACCAAAGATATTATGAGTCCACGAATGAGAATGAATTAATGTTACGTTGTTTGTAAATAGCAAATAATGTGTTAGGGTGGAATGTGAGACATCTCCTGTTTCCGAAGTTGAGGTATTTTACCGAAAGACATCGGTTTAAAAACCGGAGCTAGATGAAAACCCCGTGAAAGAAGGGCTATTAACGAGTGACACGTGGGCAGGGCGAATCGAATCGTAACGCGAGGCGAGAGTGACTTATTAGAGAGCAGCTTGATGCGTCCGGACATGTTAATACTTATCATAATGGGCCCTTTGTCGCGGCGCCTACCAACAATGCGTTCGTTATTGCACACTCGCTCGGCCGCGCATTCTTGCAGACGCATTTGCGCTGCTAGAAGCTGGTCGTACGGTTCTTACCAATGCCATTAGCGAACCATTGTTTCATACCGCTGTTTATTTGCTCTCCCTCTATTTCGCCACTTGTGCATTGCAAGTGTATTTTCGGACTCTTTGCAACGAATGCCACGAAAGCAATCTGTTGATTTCGTTAACCTTTACTTGAATTTTATTTTATCCTCCAAAAAAGAAATTCTGATTACTTACACTTGCATTAATTATTTAATTCTCGAACTAGTAATAAGCAAAATTATTAGTCTCAATATTAATTCTATTTTGTTCTGAAAAATCTCATTATATTTTTTCTCGTACTCTAATGGGTTTTTACCCGTATAATAAATAAATGAATAAATAAAGTAGCAGTAACTCTATTTCTTTGGCTATAATATCTCAGGTACCGAGACCATGCAAATCCATGATTAAAACATAATAGTACTCGACGAAGAATACTCGAGAATTTTTGCAATCGCCATTAGAATCATCGAGCCAAGTCATTGTGTTTCTTCGTCGGTCCCGGATCGACGAATTGCGAACGAAACGGTTCGCTCGAGGCTGTCGAACAATAAGACCTTCAGATTATACTCTAATATTATGGAGGTACGTAGTCGGTAAAAACGAAACGAAACAGGGAGACCTTTGTTTTCGAGGCCGAGCATATTAGTAAAAATCTCACGTACACCAGACAGCCGTCGAAAACATTCTCAATAGTCCGCTTTTGGTGGTCCATGGACCACCTACCCTCTTTCGAACTGACGATTCTTCTCGTTTAAAAGGATATTGTAAGCTTACACTCGAACCTTTTTTTCCCCCCCTTCCATTCGAAGCTCGCTCACGTTCCTCATAGATCTGCCTAACGGCTGTGCTTTCACCACACGCGATTTTTCTGTGAAAACGAATCGGTCTGCTTGTACCAAGTCACGATAATACTGATTTAATGACTCCATATGAACCTTGCGTGCCTACGTCGTTCGAGAATAATTTACTTCTTAATCAGCAATATGTATTCGTAGTTATGTCAAATTTCTGGCCTAGGTCTTTCTGGAATTCAAGATTATTTTGAGATAAAAAATGAACCTCGTTATTTTGAGAATTTTCTTATTCGATCGAACAATTGTAAAGATATGTTTCTATTCATTTGCCTTAAAATACTGTTTCATTTTATTTGATTTATAAGGTGATGTATAGACAGACAGAAGCCAAAGGCGCCATCTTGTGCAATTATTATAAATTTGTTCGTCTATTAGTGTTTCTTGGCCAAGAAAAATTATACATAATAGTTCTTGATTTGTATAGCAATAATATCTTATTTGTTTACGTTTCGACAATCATTATGTTACGTGACCATAGGGAAACGAAAAATGGTGGGCCGATTGATTCGGTGAAGCGAACCACATGGCCCCAAAGGCGAGAAATACGGTCCCGCTCGAATTTCGTAAACGTTCTTTCAACGACAATCTCTCTTCTCCGATCTGAACGACGCCTGACGATTTACTATGCGTTCGTACCCTAACTGTAACCTTAAATGTTTAAGAATATTATTGAAAATTGAAACTGTTGGAAATAACAAGGACTCACCCTCGTGGAAATCGTTTTCCATTTTAATTATGTATTTTAGAGACCTTTAGTTCCTCTGTGATGCTTTGAAAGATGCAGAGAAATCGTTTAACCATTTGAACAATTTCAAGATCTTATTTAGAAATAGAATTTTATTCGACCATTCTAGATGAAGCTTTTAATTTGTGGATGACGTTGTTTACATTTTTATGAGTTTCTATAATTATTACCATCTTTAAATAAAAATTGAGTGCCTTCTGTACATGCAACAAAAAAGACTGAAAGTAAGAAAAGATGTACGAACGAGCAAAGTTAAATATTTGATAACATTTTGATGTAAAAAGAAAGTATGCTGAAGATCGTTATAAATAAATTTACGAGTTTTGATGCCAATTCTAACAAAAAGAATTCGTAATTTCAATTTAAATGACGTTTCTCTCTTAAAGGACTATAATTTACTCTAATATACATATACTCATATATTGATGATTTTCAAATGTTTTGTTTACTTTGACACATTATTTGAACAAACAATCAATAATGGAGAGAATTAGAGAACCCTTATTATTAAGTTTGGCAATTGAGGCGATACCGTACAAACATACTACGTTCTAAACAATAATATTTCACAAATAAAGGTTAACTCACCCTCGTACATCTGTGCATACTGTGGAAAGCCAGCTGCCCTCAGCCATTTGCAAGCCTCTTGCGCTTCGATCTCTGTAACAAAAGGAGAAACCAATAAAAATACATCATTTCCATTGGAAGAGGCTCAGCAATGCGATTAAACTAATTTCGTAGTTATAAATTGGAATGGTAGACAACATGGCTTGTTCTAGAAATCGATGAGGATGACTCGCGAACAAAATCGAGGAAAAGAGTGGCGAACATTAGCGAAGGACCAATAGCAAAGTCATACTCTTTTAAATTCTGAATTCCATCAAGTCTCAAACGTCTGTAAAACAAAAGCAACTGATCGTCGAAGTAAAAAGTCAATGTTACTCGCTGATTCGTCCCTTTAATGTCAGTTGCAGACCAACTATATCGATAACGATATCCAGTATTCGTCTCGCCCTCGCGATAAACTCGTTTCCAGCCATGGCTGACGAAAAAAAGAGACGATCCACATTTACATGAACAAACATTCCGATCATTAGTGGCCAACGAGTCTGGCAGCGCTGCAAGACGACTCCTTTGGTGAATGAAGGTCTGGGTTAGGTCTGAGCTAGATCGGAAAAAGTGGTTGCCGCGACGAAACGTCGCCCATCATTATACGAACGAGATACTTCGACTGCAACGACAGAGGACGCGAAAAAGTTGCAAGTGCACCGGGCGTGGAATGCAAGAGGGAGACTGAGCGTCGCAGGAACTCGCTAAAAGAGGGTAGAAATTTATTCGCGACGCGGAGGATTCATAATGCGACACGATCGATCTATGAAACTTTTATGAAAATATTCGCGACAGCGTCTGAAGCAATTTCTAGCAGAGCTTTCCAGAAAGTGTCAAAACTTTCAATTATTAACGCAAGAAAGGCTGAACCACGAGCGTTAAAGATTAAAGGTTGGGAGATAGTGGTGACTTAACTCGAGTTCATCTACATTATTTAAAGTTGGTAGTATTGAAAACAAAGAACTTAAGGAATAGAATAGTAAGGGAATGTAAAAGTGTACTATTCCTTTGCATAAAATGGAACTTTGAAAATATTATTAATAATAACAAAAATAAAAATAATGACGGTACACATTCAACCTTTGCTCTCTCACAAGTTCTCGATCTGTCTCCGATTTCTATGCATATACAGTGTCCCATATTGACAAATTATTTTTATCAATTTAATTTCGGAACGTTAAGGTGTATTTTGAACCCTTGACTCCGTGCTTGACGAAATTTACATACCAGCAACGAGCAGGAAGGACCGTCTTCCGCATAGTATCCGTAAACCAGGCGTGTAAAAAGTTCTTGCGGCGCAGTTCATTGGCTGGCGCGCAAAATTCCCACGGGAGATTTGCGGGTCCGGAAAAGAGAACAGGTCTCGAAGCAAGCGAATTTGCAGCAACACGGTCGCTGGAGAAGGAAATACAAAGAGAAAACGGAGGGTTACAAGACGAAAAGAGGAAAGGAGACGGGCATCGAGAAACGAGCGCGTTTCAGCCTTTCAGAGTCGAGCGCAATTTTCTTCGAATAATAGATGATGTATAAAAGCTTTGTAACGATCAAATTCATTCTAATGTACCACATCCACAAAATCTTTAAACTTTAAACGGGCCAAAACGACCTGTTGGCTACTTTGCAAAGATATACAATTTCTGATACTAATACGTTTTATGGTCTCTAACTTTCTGACTTTGTTTCTCTGCATACGTATCGATATAAGATAAATTCTTTAATTGCATTTTATGTTAAACAATATGCCCGTGATCAAAACTGGATCGTTTCATGACGAAAATGGTACAAAGTCAACGACAAACATGACAATAAATCTTTTAGAAAGTGTTAGAGAAGGATACAGTAATGATTCGTAAGATGAACATCGTTCTGGAATTGGCATGCTCATCTTTCGTAGATGTATTCAGGATCAACTCAGGCGTTTTATGATGGAAATGGTTCAAAGTCAACGTCAAAGACGACAATAAGTCTTTTACAAAGTGTGAGAAAAGGATATAGTAATGATTTGTAAGATGAACATCGTTAGAGATGTCATTCGAAACTTATACAAGTTATTTTTTTGCATCATCGTAATTTAAAGGAATATTTAAATAGCTTCTTTAAGGCGAAACAGTCCGTGCAACCGATCATAAGTTGTTTATCTTCTACTCGTTTTTCCATGTTTTTTAATCTTATCTGTAAATTTCGCCCATCTCCGCTTTCAGGGACGCGGCGTTGACCACCCGCCGCGACGAAAAGGAGAATTCATAGCGGCGATATCGACGCGATCGGGCATCTTGGGCGATAAAACGTTGGTAGCTATCACTATCGATATCGCGACGGTGAATTTATCGATTTCCCGAGCAGCGGGAAGCCTCTGCTCGCGGGTTTACACGACCTGCTGGATAGTGGAAGAGAGAGACAGAAAGGTTAACGTCTTTATTTTCCAGAGACGTCGTCGATGTCCGCGTCCGTGGCGCGCGACAGCGCTCGGTAGTCGCATCGATTGCAACCTTTAAAGGTTCCCCGTAGATTAATTATCGTGCCCCCGAACGCGGCGGCGTTTTCGAGGAATGCTGTGAATTCAACTCGCGTCTGTGAAATTCAATGAAGACGTACGAGAAGGAGCTGCTTCCAACGTCGCCCATTCGAGCCTTTCATTCTCAAGGTGTCGATGGAAGCTTATTAATCGACGAAACGAATCGCCTCTGCTTTCGTTAGGCTGATTGGACGGTCCAATTACGGAAGACTAGCCTACTAGCTACACCTGATGTGTTTGGAAACACCTTTAGGCGACTTAACGACGATAGGAACGATAAAATGCTATTTGAGTATCTCTTTTGTTATTATTTCGGTCATTCACTTCCAAGGTAGATGTATCACAGACGTTTTAAATGTATTAAATGTGTGTAGAAGTTATAATCCTTCTTCTGAACGTTTAGACATAATTACTTTGAATCGATATAATTTACTGATTTTTGTGTATTTGTAATGTTTGTATCGATCTATTTGACAAACACCAGCCAAACAACTGTATCAGTAGCAAAATCTAATCCTTTCGCGCCAGATAGGTTTTCTTTCTTGTAGATATACTTGAATAGAGAAAAAATAACAGGAGCTACGGAAGTACGTGTATTACCATTTTCGTCATCTTTTATAAAAAAAAGTCTTCTGTGTGGGACTGTATCTGCAAGTACAGTTCAATCATTCTATTTTGATTTTATATCGTAATAAATCTTTCATGCGATCCTTCAGGCACCGCAAGGTTCGCGAGATACAACTCGTACGGCGAGACTAATCCCAAGCAAGGTAGGAAGCTTTTTATAGAACATCAAAGCAATCCTTTTATTTCCGAATTGGCGTTATTTTAACGTCCGCCGTTGGACGATCTGGAAAATAAACGATTTGCTCGAATGCTCTATAAAAACCTTCCAAGCGTCCCGAATTTTCTGCCCCATGTAGTACGGTTCAAAATTGTAAATTCAAAGAAACAGAATTTTCAATTAAAATTCGACTTATTCCAAGTTCTTTCTTCGCAGAAGTGCATTAATTTCTTTGTGACCAGGTTTAAAAATTTATGTGTCTTCCGTTTAAAAACATTGGGTTTACGGACTTTGTACAAATTTCTAGTATATAGGAGTAAAAAATAGGTTCAGCAACGTTATATACTCCGAGAGTTTAATTAAAGTTTAATGGGTCCCTTTTAAAGAAGACATGGGAAGCTTCTCAGCGGGCATATTTCCGACAAGATTCAGCAAACTGTGTGGATGTACGTATTTGAATAATCAAATTGCTTGCATCTGTATGCAATAAAATGTCGATGTAATAGTATAAACAAAATTGACTGTGGATGTAACTGATAGGGTTCATCAATGTTAACGGTTGTAAAAAATTCCAGATATTCTGGCAAACGATTCAATCTGACAATTTTCCTTTCAATGTCGTCTAAAGGTCATAGTATAGCAGTTCGTTGAAAATAGTTAAAAGTTCCATTTAAAAATATTACAGTAATCTTAATTTTTTATCGAAAATCAATTTGTTTTTAAATTTGAGCGACTGTAATTTCTTGTCGGTTAAATACTGATTACCTTCGATAGGAAGCATCTTTTTGTCAGGCTATCAAAAGGGGCTGAAAAATCGTGCTTCACCCTGTATAATTTTCGAGAGTCTACCTACGCTAGGTGAAAAAGATACGTTTCGGGAATAATAAGTTTAAAGTTCTACACTAAAATTAAACATTTTCTTATCAGACTATAGAAAGGGGCTGAAAAATCATGGGGACTAGTTCGTGTCTCATTCTGTATAGCTTTTGAGAGTCTACCTACGCCAGGCCAAAGAGTTACGTTTCGAGAACAACGCGTTTAAAGTTCTGTACTAAAATGAAACTTTTTTAGGGTATCACGGAGGAATGACCCTTTAATGATTCATCGTTTAACGCCGCGCGGTCTCGTGTCTCCGCGCCGAAAGACGGATGGGACGGAAATCCACGACGTCGGAATAATACGGCTTTGCGGTAGGTCGCCGGCCGAGACTTCCAGCTATGTTCTGAATAAAGCGGCACGTAGGTGTGTCACTTCGTGCGGAATAAAAGGCTGCGGGAGTACGGCACCGCAGCCGTGTACACCGCGGGCCTTTCGTAAGGAGATTTGCTTTTACGCAATTGAGGCGACGGCGGCCAGACGCGCCAATCCAGAAACCGGCAAAGCGGCTGCACAAACCGACGGAATTGACAGCGCGACGCGGGCACCCGGATCGGCTATCGAGATCGAAAAATCTTTTAGGCCCCTAAAATTTAAAACATTTCTGAATGCTGTTCTTAAAACGTACAATTACTCAGGGAAGGAGAGGGAGGATGTTCGAGTCAGATTCACGATTCATAATATTTAATAGGAGGTTACATTTTTAATCCTATCGAGAAAATTGTTGCTTAAATATACATGAAATATGGACGAAAAATCTCTCCATACGGAAGTTTTTCAGATAAGTATACATATACTATACTTTGTCAGAGGTTTAACTTTTCCATTATACAGGGTGTTCAGCCACATCTAGGAAAAATTTGAATGGGAGATTTT